CGATAATACACTAAGATTTAAAAAATTGAATGAAGTTAGTGAGATACTGTATGCGGTATAACATTTAAAACTACTTTTAAACTACTAACCGCACAGCTCCGAATTTTTTTTTAATATAAAATTTGAAAATTCAGAATTAATTTCTTGCATCTAACTCATTTTAGTCAAAAATGAACTTTGTAAGTTTTCATTTAGCAACGGCAATTCTAGTTATTTTCTGAATATGCTTGTATATAACAATTTAATTGAAAAAAATAAATTGTTATTTTGAAGCAATTATGAGAAATTTCTATTTATAAAATATTAATATTAATTATAACACTATTAAATTTAATTTTATTTCCAATATTTTAGTGAAAAATATGAAAAAATAAATATGTGAGTTAGGCCACTGTATGAGGGCTTTTATTAATTACGAAAAATGTAAAAATTAAGTGATTATAAGTATAGAGGAGAAAGTTTAAAATATTTAATGAAATATCATAATGTTATTAAGAATAAAAGTATTTTAATTTAATTAGAAAAAAATTCAATTTTTACTTGTATAACATCACAAGTAATTAAAAAAAATCCACACAGACTCAAAGTTTTTATGATGTCGCTCTCGTTTGTCTTTGAAATTCAATAAAAATTTCTTTATAAAAAATATTTTGTTATAATATCAAATGAAAATTTTAATTACATATTTTTTATTTACTAAGAAAATTAAATTTCATTTTCATCTTAAAAAAATTAAATCAATTCTTAATAACAAAACACTTAAAAAGGACTTTGATAATACGTAATTGTTATATTGTCCGATTAAATTCAAAAGACTTGGTTATTGTTAATATTCTTCTTATTGTTATCTTGGAAATTACAAGTTTACTAAATAGATTGTGATATCCTTTTTAACTTAAAAATACTATAATTTCAAAGAAGATTTACCACAAATTTGTTTTATTCTTATTTTTTGTGTGTTTTCATTAAGAAACTTGTTTAATCCTTGATATAAAATTATATATTGAATAAATAGAGAATCATATTATAATTCTTAAGAAATCCACAAAATTAAAATGATTAAATATGGTCTTGTTAATCATAATGTAATTTGAAGAAGACGTATATACTTTAAGTAATTTTATAAAAAAAAATAATAAAAATAAAAGAATTCAAAGTAAACCATATTGAATAATTTTCATTTACTGTAAGAGAAACTACACAGAAATTCTCTTTTTGTACACAAGTATCAAGAATTTTTTATTTTTTTAGAACCACAATAAAAAATGAGAAGATGAAACAAGAATAATATGTGAAAATTTTTGAATTAAAGAAAAAATTTGATTTTTGTTCTGGTTTTTTTTTTGAATTTTTCTTTTAAACTTTTCTTAATTTGTATTTTTTCTAAAGAGAAGAAATAAATTAAATTTTATGTGCTAAATGATATCTTGGAATCTGAAACGAATTTTCTTATATTATTTTCATTTCTTTTTTGAAAATAATATGTGTAAATGTATCCTTTTCCATATTTTTCACTCCATATACATGTACAAACATAGAATCTCCTGACAACTTGTTGTTGATCAATTTCCGAAGTAAATTAAATGCATATTATATATACATATATACAATAATATTATATTATATAACAAAAAATATTTTCTTTGATAAATAAATCAACATAATAAATTCGACTATACATATATATATACATATTTACATTATAATCCTTAAAAATAAGGATAAAGATGAAATATCTCTTTACTCTCATCACATTCGTTTTGATATTGTTTTTATCATATCATATATGTCAAAGGGTTTAAAATTCTTTACAAAATTTTTGTATTTTTTGTGTATTTGTTTTGTGATTCTTATTGAAATAAATAGAATTAAAAAATTTACTTTTTATATAATATTATATTAATGATATACGTAATATACACGTACAATATTACAATTAATAGCAGTTGAAAAATTTTATTTATTTGTAGGAATTTAATAAAAACATTAAAAAATCTTATATAATAGTTTTATTTTACTGCAAGAAATTATTTCAATTGGTATTAAATGAAATTGAAAGATTAGATTTAATTTAGATAAGTGCTTAAATATATTTAATCATCGAAGAGAAAAAATACATAATAATTATTGTTATCCAAAACAAAGCCAATGAATAAAATATAACAAAGATGTTCTCTGATCTCATTTTTATTTGAATGTTTTCAATAGAATTTTCTCTAAAAAAAAATGCGACTCAAATTTTTTTAATTCACTCTGATAAAAATTAAAAATGAGTAGGAGAAAACTTGCAAAAATCTTCATATTTCTCTCTCTGAATAAAATATTGTATTATAAGTAAACGATTTGTGCTATGCCACATAAAATTAAGAGAGAGGAAGATTAATGCTCTCGTTTTTATTATAAATATTTTTGTAATAATTACTGCTGCTGTTTTTTCTTGTTGAAATCATTGCGTTATTTCGACATTATTACAATAAAAGCTTAATTTATGATATTGTGTTAAGTACAGTGCTGATGACACATTATAAAATTTTAATATTGAACATTTTCTTTTGATTTTGTTTAATCAATTTTAATATTTATTAAATATCAATATTTACACATAATATAATGATCGTACCTAATCTAAATATGTATATAGAAAAGAACAATAGTGAGTCATCCTGAGACGATAACCTTATTATTTATTTAAAAAATATTTATTTAGTTTTTTTTTTTTAAATCACGATAACAAAACGAGAACATACGTTGTATAAGTTTAAAAAAGTTTTTGATGAGCAACATAAACAAAATATTTTTATTTAGAAGAAGTTTACATAGAAATATATTTCTGTCCATTATGATAGAGTATTAAAAAATTATGTATACCTAATGGGTTTTAAAAATGGGAATTTCCCAACAAATATTAAGCACTTTTACAAATTTTAGCAAATGCGCGTGGTACATTTTTACCACGCGCATTTGATTTCACGGGGATTTTTAATTTTTTTTTCTTTGTTTTCATAAAAACGTCTGAATAGTAATCAGTTTTTTCAATGATTACTTCTTAATTGCATTTTTTATGGTGATATTCAATATTAAGGTTCATTATGATGCATTTTATGGCTGTTATTGTTATATAGACCTTTATATTTAATGTAATTTGTATTTGTTTTCAGCATAAGAGTCTATTTTAAAAGATTATTTCAAAAAGTTCAAATAGATAATTTTGCAAAATTAAAAATTAAGTATAACAATTATTATATTGTTATATGTAGTATAAAAATTTAATAACTAAAATAATAATTTTCTCACCAAAAATTATTTGTTGTATATTAAAATATTTGGTTTTAACAAAGGGTAGAATTTTTAGTGAAAAATAGTGGAAATTTAAAGACAATTTAGTGTTTTAATTTTCTGGTATAATCAACAATAAAATTATTACGTTCAAAATTTTATAACAATATAACAGATTTCATTTTGAGTTTTTTCTTGTATTATTATCAATCGATTAACCATAATATTTTTATTAACGAATTAATGGGGAGTATGAAATACTCCACATTAAGTATATTAGATACGAAATAAATTCTGCATAAGATTAAAATTATATTTGTTATACTAGATATATCAATAAATTTTCATTTACTATTGATATACTTGCATATACATTATATACATTCTTTAGGAAATCAAATCATAAATTTATTAGTATAGTAGAAAAGAAAATACAAGTAAAAGAATATAAAATTACCAGAAGTATGTGGGATTAAGAAATTTTTTAACTTTAAGGATTATAATATCCTTATATATGTAACATATTATAGACGAACGTACAAGAATATTCACATAAAATCCGAAAAAACCTAATTCTTTCTGTAAATATTTTTGAATTTTTTGCTGAAGTAAATATGTATATATAAGCTTTAAAATATAATTCTAAAATTTCAAACAAAAATACTAGGAATATTAAAATTAATAAACAAAAATATTACATAGCTCTTTCGACTCATAAAACCGACTCTTCCAGGAGTAATCTTGAATGTTCAAAATTTGCCATTAGTAAGGCTTTCAGGTTAGCTATTTATTCGTAACAAACCCTTTTTTTAGAATCTGGGATGCCTAAAATCCGACTCTTAAACTAAATGTTCAAATTGAAAATATTTTTACGGCAATCTCAAAAATGAAAATATTTGATAAGTTTTGAACAGAAAAAATGGTAATTCCCGGCTTATATTTCGAACTTATTTGTCAATACTTTTAAAACTTTAAAGTAGAATTTCAGTAATTTAAATTTTAAATTTTTGAATAAGACAGAAAATCTTTTCAGCTATAATTTTTGGGAAATGGTAGAAAATTTTATTTTTTCTTTAAAGAAATTTTATTTACTCCTATTTTTAGATTTTTCTAACAAAAAATATACACTACAACAACAATAATAGAAAAAGGATAATATTAATTTTAACAACCATTTAACATGGCTAATTTTTCATATTCCCTTCTCAATTTTTTACTTAAAAACAAAAAAAAAAGAAAATCAACTATGAAGTCTGAAATGAAATTAAAAGTTTTTCTTGATATTGTGTTTTAAAGACTTTTTAAAATATTATTAAAGTTGAAAATGATATTTTATTTCTATTATCCTTTTATTTATTTTTTTTTTGGTATAAGATTTAAAATTCTAGGAATTCCTAAAATGAAAGAATATTTTGGTCTGAGTCCTTTAAAGTCTTTAAATTTAAAGATTTCATTTTCCTTCAATTTACTATTGTTTCTTGTTTCTTATACCATTTGGGTTTAAGGTTTTCCTAATTTTTGTTTTTGTTATATTTATTAGAAAATAAATTTTTGTCATATTTGCCTCTTAATTTTCTTTTTTTTTTTTATTAAGAAAATTCTTGAACTAATTTAAAATGCAAACAAGTTAACAATAGAATTTTATTTTTTCTATTCTATATCCTTGAATGAGTTAATAATAAATATATATTTTTTTTCTCTTTTCTTTTCTTATTTCTTTTCAGAGTAAAACAATAATAATAGAGTAATAGAGAGGACATAAAGTAAGAAGGAATGGAATATATATACGATTCGTATACTTATATATTTAAATATTGTATAACATAAAAAAAAGAAAATTAAGAAAGATTATTTGTCATCTATCATCTTGAATGCGGTTAAAAGCAATATTCTTCTAAATAAACCTATATATATTATATATATTTACATAAAAAAAAAAACACGATTTTTTATATAACTTTAATATCATATATTTTCCTCCCACATTAGTTCATATTATATTATATAAACATATATGCACGGATCATATTTTGTATATAACAATATAAAATAATATAGAATAACATGTAGAGAGACAAATTTAACCAATGAAGAGAAAACAAAAAGTAAAGAGAACGAAATTTTTTGACAATCTTATTGTTAATATTTTTATGTATTAAATAATAAAATGAAGAAAAAAAAAATAATGAAAAAATAAAAATAAATAAACCAAAAAAAAAACAAATGTAAATAAATACTAATAATAAAATGGTAGTAAAAAGGATAATAGAAGTGATGTTCATGTGCACACAAATATTTTTTACATAACGGCTGGAATTTTTTTTTTATTTCTATATATATATTATATACTATATTTGATCACATACACAAAAACAAACGTAAATTTTAAACTGATCTTGTCTGAATCAGAAGTGTTATATACAATTGTGCTCAAATACTCTCCTTTCTCTTAAAAAACATAACTTTATCGTGTATTATATGCTCTTTATATTCGGAGCAAAAAAGGCTTATTAATGAAATGTGTCTATTATGAAAATCCATTTAATTTTTGATTAATATTTAAGGGGCATATTACAATATTGTTAAACAAAAAATTTTCTCCTTCAATACGTAATACTTGTTTATAACAATTACGTAAATTTAGCTGTAAATTACCAGCTTAATTCATCCAAAATTTTGATATGTGCAAAAACTATTAAAAATTTCTTTCTCTGACTGTAGAAACTGATATAAGAGTTTTAATACTCATCTCTTCCTTTATATAAATTCTCACATTTAAACGCCATATTATTTCAACTTTCTATATCAAATTTTCACTCATTTTTCAGATTTTTGCTCAATGCAATTTTCAAGGGACAGGAATATTTTTAGTAATTTATATCTCGTTATTGTTTTTCCAAATATGAAATTTGTTTTTTAATATTAAATAAAATTCAAGAATTAAATAATAAATTGACTGTATTTAAGAATTTAACAATTGGTGGTTTAGTTTTAATACGGAAAATTTTACGATATTGCAATCAAATTAATTTTATATCACTTCTAATCCTTTAATTTTAATTTACCGAAAAACATTCAACATTTTCATCAAAAATCTATTTAATTTTAAATTCACTATAACAATAAAGCTAATGCACTTTATTGTGTCCATTTATTATTAATATTTATTTTACACGTAAATTTTTTCTATTAAAATTTTTATTTTAGAAATAACAAAAATTTATTCCAATTTTTCCGATCAAAAATTCACCATTGTACATGGTAAATAGCTAGGAAATGAGAAATAATTGAACTATACACCAAAAACAATATTACAAAACTAAAATATTTTTATTTATTTAGAAAATTAAAAAAAAAAATTTAAAAGTAAAAACGAAAAAAAAATATTGACAATCAATTTTACAAAAATTGTTTTATTAAGTGCTTTAGAAATAAACAAAATCGGGAGAATAAAGAAAAAAGAGAATATTAAAAAAATAATGGAATAAAATTAATTTCTCGGAGAAAATAAAACACCAAAAAATGATGAGATTAAGACAATAACACATTCTATCGGTTAAATGGTGAAATTTTACTCTATTTAATATTTATTTTTTTTGTTTATTTTTCATTTTTTCTATATTTTATTTTACATTAAAAAATAAAATTGAAATTTTCAAAAATGCGGAATATAAATAAAATCTTTATCATTATTTACTAATAAAATAAAAATTAATAATGATTCGAAATTTCTTTTATCTTATACTATTAACGAATAATAGAGAATATTGCATTACATAATTAATTAACCACAACGGAAATACTAATTTCATAATTCCAATTTTTAATAATTTTATAATTCAAATTAAATATAATTTTAATATAACAATTAGTTACTAATACTTTAATTTAAAAAAAAAATTCTAATAATTAAAAATTAAAAAAAAGATCTAATTCAAAATGATGTCACATCATTTTAATTCAATGTTAGAACATTTAAAAATTGGTTCATTACGTAATCGTAAAGATACTAATTCAGATCAGAGTCCAACATCAACAAGTAATATTGAAGTTGGTAATAGTAGTTGTAATAATATAACAAATAATTTAAATGATAGTAATTATACTACTACTGCAACAACAACATCAACGATAACACCGATTAATGTAACAACAGATAATAATATAATAACAAATTCAACAACAATAATTGGTTTTACAAATCCATTTCGACAACAGTCACAAAATCAGCAACAGCAACAGCAACAACAACAGCAAAATCATAAAAATTTAATAAAAAATAATGATAGCAATAATGATATTATTGTAGATAGAAATTTTTTATATAATAAAAATAATAGTAATTGTAATAATAGTAAAAATATCGATAATAAAAGTGGTATTTGTGATGATGGTATCGACAATATTAATGATGATGGTGGCGGCGGCGGTTGTGGTGGTGGTAAAATTGGAAATATTAATAATATAAGTTGTAGTAGTAGTAGTAGTAGTGGTTTAAATACTAATAATAATATGAAGGGTAAGAATTAAGTTGTTTGTGTTAATGGTGTTATTTTTATAAAATAATTCCTATTTTAAAATCCCTATATTAAATATATGCTTTTAGTGTAATAAATTTAAAAGTAAATTTTGATTTTTGTTTTTCTGTTGCTGCTGAGATTTTCAGAAAATCAGATTAAAATTTTTGACTATTTATTGCTTTGTATGTATTATTTAAATTTTTTTAAACTATATGATGTTATAAATATGTTATTTTTGTTAATATTTTTATAAAAGGACTTTAATTATAAAAAATTTAACATATAAAATTATATTTGATACGAATAATTTAAAAATATTTATTGTGACAAATTTCGTATAACAACTCAAAAATTTAGTGTATTTAGCAATATTTGAAATGAGAAAACAAACAAACTGTTAAGAAAACTCATTAAAATTTAACATGAAAATATTACATACAATTATTAATAACAACAATAATTGAGTACTTATATGGCGTATTAATTTTTCTCATAACAAATTTCATAATATAACAAAGAGATTGATCGTTATACAACAATAAAGAGTACTTGAGTGACTTTTTTCAATTTCTCTTTAATAATACACCTTCATTTTCTATGTTTTCATTAATCACCATTTTGCATATTGCTGTTTTGCTGTTTATTACAATTATTATTTAAATTATTACTCTTCTTTACAATTGAGTATTTTAATGTTATAAAAATCTTTATAATTTGCAGATATTTAATTTTTTCCTAATTTTAACTTGTAATCATTTAACATATTTGTTTTAGAATTTTTATGATATATTAATATATTTAATTTAATTAAAATTAATATTAATTCTCATATTTTATATATTATGTTAAATATAGCTAATAATCAAACTAATCAAGTATTAAATGGTGTATCAACAATATCAACAGCTTTAAAAAATAATATTTCATTAATACAAAATTATACGAGTAATAATACAACAACAGCAACAAATAAAACTACATCAACAATATTAAACAATGTTAATAACGATATCGAAAATAATACGAATATATCAAATATATCGAATAATCAAATAACACAAAATCATATTGTTGTAAAAAAAAATATAAATCAAAATTCAAATGATTATAATATACAAAATAATTTGAAAAATCCAAAGAAACCATCAACATCATCAACATCGAATACACCGGAAACAATTATTAAAAATCGTTCAAATCAAAATATAAATCGTAAAACTAGTATTACAAATCCAAATGATAGTAGTAATATGAGTACAAATAATTCTTCTCCCGTAACAAGTATGAAAGGTACACCAATTAAAAAATTACAACAACAAGATGGACGTAAACGTCCTAGTATATCAGTTCCAAATGGTGATTGTATCGATGATAATGGTAGTCGTCGTAGTATTATTGATAGTGCAATAGCAACATCAGCAGCTATTATTGGAAATGATAATACTACAAATAATAGTAATATCATTAATAAATTATGTAATCGATATTAATTAACAACATAAATTATTAACAGGTGATGTTAAAGAAACAAGAGAGAAATCAACATCATCATCACGTACAAGAGAACTGTCACCAACACCAAGACAACAACAACGTAAATTATCAACTGATATGCGTGATGTACGTTCACGTGCCGGTAGTGTTAATTTAGATGAAGATGGTAGACCAATATTAATAAGAAAACCGGTTAAACTGAAGAATGTTGCAAGTAGAGCTGAAACATATGATACATTACATGCAAAAGCAACTTCGGTAAGTAAAATATTTTTCTATATTTTTTTATATTTTCTTATAGTTACTTTAATTTTTTATCACAAAGACACAAAAATTTTCTATGGTTACATTGAGCTCATTTTGCTTTCTATAGAAAATTTCTTATAGCATAACATTTTTAAAAGAGAAAATTTTATAAAATTATATGATAATTTTAAGGTTGAGTTGTAATTAATGTAAAAAAATTAAAGCTATAAGACATAAAGTAAGTCTAGTGAAAAATTTTTTAATTTAAAAGAAATTAAATTATATCTGAATATTCAAGGTTTCTTTTCTCATATCTGCGAATACTGTGACTGCGCTTATATAATAATATTATATTTTATCCTTGCTACTATTTTTAATTTAAAAATTTGTAATTAATGAACAAGTATGGTGTTTATTAATTCCTATATACTATGATCAGTGGCACACATATTAAAAGAACTTAATTTTATAGCTGATGCTATATAATGGATGGCATTCCACTGGTGGTGTGAGTGTGATTTAATTAAGAGATTTATAAAATAATAAAAGTTTATTCTGAATTAGACTTGATTTTAAACCTTTGACATTCACAATGTTCTAAGTAATGCATTATTGAAGTGATGCGTAAATAAGAACTGAAACTGGTATGTGTATGTCATTACGTAACACTGTAAATTTAGCTTCTCTGAAGAATTAATTTCATGTTATCCATTTAAAATTTACATTTAAGAGTTTGAATTTACAAAATTTTAAACATTTAAATTTCTGTACGTAATACAAGCATTCCTATTACCGACCTCAATTTAATCCTTTAAGCAAAAATGTAGTAGAAATTTTGGAAATTCCAGGAACATAATTATGGTGACATTTTCTTCCTAAAATACTATGCGATAACTTAGAATTTTCATAATTATCCAATCAATGAAATTGTTAGCATTTCTAAATTGGAAAATTTTTGTGTACTTCCATGGAACAATTCTAGTTCTATGGATTTATATATTACAGTGCAGAGATTCAAAAATCGAAACTATAATTTTTCAGATTTGGATTTTCCATGAAGTTTATAGAAAATTTTAGAAAAGTGTTTACGTTTTAGATTTGTAATGAAAAATTTTGTGCTGGATATATTGGGATAGTAGCTTTATATTGCTTAATACCGTTCTTATCAAAATTAGGACTCATGCAGATATGCAACTTTTCTCAAACATGTTCGTAAAATATTGTTTAATTTCATGCGATCATACAGTTGGGTGTGAGCACGTATACGCATAAGATCCATTGAATACAAATAAGCAATCAAAAAGTTTTAAAACTAAAAATAGCATGTTTGCCTGCACCCTTGGAAACTACACCCCCAATACTACTTTTAATGCTATTTAATCAATGTCGAACTGTAGTAAAACAAAAACTTACCATTAAAAGTTCAACATTTTGAAAAAAAATTTCCTAAAACTCTCAAACTTTTTTTCTATTCAAAATATTTGACGTATAAATAGTTTCTAAAAAAATTTCCGCTTTGATACAAAAACCACAGCATAATTTAAATTTAATGTCATTTTAATTTTTTTTTTTCCCCATATTTTTAATACCAAAGTATTTGGTGTTAAAAAATAATTCATTTATAAAGTTTTTCTTCATGTTTTAATTGCAAAAATCTGACGATATTTTTTTTTTAACATTTATAACACGAAATTATTAAAAAAATAAGGACTAAAAGCAAAAAAAAATTACTCTCCTATCGTTATCTGATTTAAAAACCTTGTTGCATATAAAAGGTTAACAAAAAAAAAAGAGCAAAAAAAAGACACAAGTAAATGAAAAATTTAAATGAAGTCAATGACGGGAATTTCAGCGGTGGGAAATGTTAAAAATTTTTTTTTTTGGAAAATATTTTTAAGGACCCCCTTTTGTTGGAAATATTTTCGATGTAAAAGTTTTAATGTTAATTCTAATGAAAAATATTTTACAAACTTATTTATTTTTTCTGCCCATAAAGGACTATATAATGAGGATGCAACAGTAAAATTATGGTGTACATGTGAATAATTATGTTCATATATGCTGGATATGAGTTTGAACTGGAAAAAATTATGGTATTTGGGAATATTTATCGAATATTAAATATAAAAATTTTTAATCAAAAACAAAAAATTTTTAATAAATTGAAATTAAAAGCATTTGCGTGTAATTTTTTTTAACAAAATGTAAATTCAAGGGAATTCTTGTTTTATACCTATTTCTCGTGTAATTTTAATTATAGATCCCAATTAGAAGAGGCTTGAGAGAGAATAAATTATTAGGAAATTCATTAAAAGTTAAGAGTTCAAAAATGGAAATTATTAGAAAGTAAAAGGCAAATAATTCATGACTCTAAAATATACCCATACGTGCGAATTTAATCGATTTTAAAGAAAATTGGAGCGAAATATAGCTAGGCTAGGTCTTATCTAAATTTTAATGCAATAATAAGAAAAGAACATCTTTGAACTATTTTAATAAAAGTATTCACTCATTTTGTCTCATTTAGCGCAGAATCGCAGAGATAAATTTGAAATATCTGTGTCAGCTAACAAAAAACGAACTGCAATGTAAATATTAAAATTTTCCGTAAGGGATTTTGTAAAATTTTGCATTTATAAACTGAATAGAATTGGTGGTATTTTAATTGGAGCTATTCACTGTCACTATAATTTTGCATACTTATTCAACAATAAATTTTCGTGAGAGAAAAATTTTAAACGTGTTTTGTAGTCAAATATTGTACATGAGAATTATCATGGCAAGAATTAAAATTTTTTAGCCAAATATGTGTTTTTGCTTTATTTCTTCAAGTTCTCAGTGCTTGTTAATATTATTTTTTTTTTCAATTTATTTTTGTTTTTGCTGTTACATAATTTTTGTAAGATTTTTAAATCCTCATTAATTAATTTATATACAACTATATAATTTAAAAATTGCTCTCCATCACTTTTCTTCTCCATTATTCAAGTATTTTATTTCTTTTCTAGTTTCTCTTAAAAACAAATTTCAATTACAAATCATCTTTTATATGTACTCATAATATGTAATCATAAAAATTTGTTTAATGGTGTAAAGTTTATTATATTTTCTTCTCATTGATATTATATATTAAATTTATTTGCTCAGTATGTTCTTTATTTTCTATTTCAACATAAAACTTTTAACATTATAGTCTGTATAAAATTACTCGGTCAATTATTAAATATAAATATAAGAGCAAAACCATAAATTGTATTATGAGAAAAAAGAATGTGAGAAAAATGTTGTGACAGGAGGGAGAGTTGCAAGTAAAATAATTTGTGTTAAAACTACGTAAAATGTTGTAGTTCTATAGTATAAGTGGAGCATGTAGTATTAAAGAGAGAGAGTTGAAATTTATTATATTGCTGACACTGGCCTTAATGTTCTTAATAAGATTTAAGTTTGTTTTTAATGTTATTTCTTTTGTGTAATTATTATTTTTATAAAAAAATTTTACACATATTGTTAAAAATATTTTTTTTTATTTAGACATAAATTTTTTCAATGATTTAAAATGAAAAATTTTTGGAGAAAATAATTAATTATTGTTTTTAAGTTTTATTATTTTATTGTTCTTATTACTTACTATATTTGCAACAAAATGATTGGTGACCAGGAGTTTTCAAATCGGAAAATTTTTAATTTTTCTCATAAATTTTGACTCAACGTCAATTGTCACACAGGACGGGTAATTTCTATAATACCGTAAATTTTCAAAAATATGGCTAGATCCAGTAATATCTGATTAAAAGGTATAAAATAGCAAATTTTCGAAATTAAAAGTATAAAATATAGAATTTTAATGAAATATCAATTCAAATTCTTAAATCTCAGTTCAATTTTAGAATTTTGCAAATTTTATCAAAAAACGGATTCAAAATTTTTAAGGCAATTGACTATAAATCTCTAATTCCGACTTACTCAGTAGATGATTTATTATAGATACTATACAGATATCATTTCGTATTTCTTTCAGCCTTAATAAAAACCAATATTAGAAGCAAATATTAGAGTCAGCATTAAATAAACAATAAAAAAATAAATCATAATATTTTGTTCTATTTTGCTTTGCTATTCATAATAGCCCACCTTCTTACACCAATTAGTTATAAAAAAAAAAGTTTTGATTGTTAATTCTTACTCATTATAATAGACACATTATATTATAATATGAATTTCAATATAATTTTCTAATAGCACTTTATAATATTAACTATAAGTGATTGATAATATTTCTCTAAGGATTGCCTTTCTATTATTTGTTTATACAAGTTTTTCTCATATTATTCATAATTGAATTCATTATTAGATATGTGTAGTATCTACTATGAATATTGTTATATGAAATTAAAGTCTATTCTCATCATTTATAATTATTATAAAAGTTTTCTTAATACTCTTGAAAGGTATAGAACACTAAATATAATAATAAATTCTCTTTAACAGCAAAATTTCATTTATCTATTCATAATTGTTTTGTTCCCTTTTATATGATATGGTATAGATTCCATAAAAATGTTAGTATGTGAAGGTATTGTATGTGTATATAAGTTTTAGAGAAAAATTAAAAGAAAATAAAAGATAATCTTGTTTCTCATTCCTGTCTTATTTTTTTTTTTATAGTTTTGTTTCTTTTCGGTTTTCTTGGGATAATTATCCTTAAGTATATCATTTTTATTGCCTTAAGTTACTTTTATGGCATGTATATATCCTTACACAACAGAAAAAAAATCCTTAAGATTCTTTAATTTTTAAGGAATTTTCTGTTTTCTATCTTTTCTTTTCTGTTGCCTTTATAACAATTTTTATCTTAACAAGTAAATCTTGTAAAAATTGTAAAGACCACAAGAATGGTTAAAGGACCTTTTTTTTTTTTTTTGTTGAGTCTTTAAAATGTTATGAACGTGTATTTGATTTTTTTCTTTTGTTGTTGTTCAGTTCCTTTGCTATTATGATTTGATTTTCAAGTG